CCTCGCCAAACCCCCTTTCCCCCCTAGACTCCTCCAGAAGTCCTCCGCCCTGAACAATTATAATAGTATAATTTCATTCCGGTGTGATAATTCCTCCGCTAGCCAGGCTAGGGTATTCCTCACCTGCTGTACCCCGCGTCCTCCGCTTAGTGTTTCTAAGCGGATGCGACGAAACTTTATTACCGGGCATGTATAGTCTAGTATACTATCGTATAGTATAGTATCGTATAGTATCGTATCGTGTCGCATCGTATCGTAGCGTATCGTATCGTGTAGTATCGTATAGTACAGTATCGTATAGTATCGTCTCGTATCGCATCGTATAGTATCGCATAGCATAGTGTACTATAGTATAGTATAGTATAGTATAGTATAGTATAGTATAGTATAGTGTAGTGTAGTGTAGTGTAGTGTAGTGTAGTGTAGTGTAGTGTAGTGTAGTGTAGTGTAGCGTAGCGTAGCGTAGCGCAGTATAGTGTAGCATAGTGTAGTAGAGTGTAGTATAGTATAGTATAGTATAGTATAGTATAGTATAGTATAGTATAGTATAGTATAGTATAGTATAGTATAGTATAGCATATATTGCAGTATATCTAGTGTCTCCTAGTTTGTTACAGTATATTGTGTTGCAGTTTCCCACAATGAGCCATCTGCTGCTCTTGTTGGGTTTTTCTCCTGCGGCATCGTCCCAGTTTCCAGACACCGCCCGTTTTGGAGGACCGTATTATAGAACCCTGTAGTACCCTTTGTGGGTCTCGCAAAAGTGGTACGAAAGCCGGATCTGATGGGGCTATTCGCAAGTGGTGGTTCGCGAGGTGGAACGGCTTCGACTTCTTCTGCCTCTTGCTTTCCTTCACGGACTCGCTTTTGTTCTTCCTGCTTTTGGCGGATGCTATCGACTTCTCCATGAACTCAGCATCGCTGATCAAGGCCCCGAAGGGCTTGTGGCGATGCTGTAGGGGGATGTCTCCTGCGGTTCAGGGCTTTAGGGTTTGGGGAGTTTGATGGAGTTTTGGACTTTGGTTCAGCCTAGTGAGACGGTATGTGGGAGGGTAAAAAAACGAGCTGCTCCTGCAAAAAAGGTGCTGCGCTTGGCCAGATTACTTCGACTCGTGCGCACCTTGCACTATGAGTTTTTCAACGAGCTACGATTGCCGCTTGCACCGACACCGTTTAGGGTTTAAGGTTTGCGGTTTGGGATTTAGCTATAAGGCTGAGTTTTCAGCGAGCTACGACTGTGGCTTGAAGAGCTTTGGGTGCCGCAGTTCTTAACTTACTAGAACAACTTCTTAATACTCCTGTACACAACAATATACCACGTATCAAAGCGCGCTTGGGCTTGTGCTCCTCCCACAACGCCCTCGCAACCCATCTTTGCCCCTAAATCCTTACAAGTTAGAGGAGGGTTTCGTGGTATGTTATATCACAAGTAGAGTACTTTTAGGACTCCAAGGGAATAGTATCACTAATCAAAGCCTAAGCTCCGCCGAGGATCATCCTGGGTGTGTTCTCGGGACTCAGGGTTCTCTTCTGGGCCATCGTCTGTTCCTCAGTGCAGTGCTTGTCTGGCGTGGGGGGCCCACTACAAGACCAGTAACCAGGATCGTTTGGAGACGAATGGTCGTTGGAGCGAACTGCAGGGGCTACGATAAGTAAAGAGTTTCTATGACGATAGCTGCTTGATGGACGCTGGAATCGGACTGTGGGACGTTTCAGTCTTTGTGTGCAGTTCCGTGAAGGGAAGTCCCACATCAGTTATGCAAGAGAGATTGCGACCAGGTGCTCCTTTTCGTGCTGATTTACGTGTTCGGAATCGGCATGGCAACCATTGCGGGAGAGCAGCAGGTACCGGTATTCAGGGTTCACAGCTGCCAGAGGTGAGTCCACGCCGGTGCCAGGCCGAGTTTTCAACCTTGCAGTCGAGCATGTTCACAATATTCCGCCTCTTGCTTCGTTAAGCAGTTTGGTGTTTGGGGCCCTATGACCCTAAACCCTAAACCCTAAACCCTATGGGGGCATGATGCGCTGTGCTTCAGGGCGTTGAGTGCGGTCTTGGTCTTCCAAGGATGCTTGACCGAAGGCTGTCAGCGCCTCAGGTCGCCATGCGGGATGAAGGACAGGGCTGCAGTGAGAGCCAAGATGCAGGGTTTAGAGTTTAGGGGCAGATTTGCACAAAGACTTGCAGCTGACACATCGCAGCGGAATTAGACTTCTCGTTTTCGTCGCCATCGCCATATAGCAGCAGAGCCACCAGGAGTAGCAGTTCGGGTTTTGACCATCGCAGTGCTCTGGCCGTGAGGGTTGTTGATGCAGTAGACTCAGTAGCAGATGTAGCGATGGCAGCACTGCTAAGGCTGTGAGGGATGGCAGCAGCAATAGGATTAGCAAACCTTAGACCCAAAACCCTAAAAACCCTAAACCCTCAACCCTCAAAACCCAAAACCCTCAACCCTAAACCCTAAACCCTAAAGCCCTCAGCTTCATCCTGAGGTGCTGGCTATGACGGCCGGCCTCTCACTGAGACGCTTCGTATGGAGACTTTCCGGGAGTGGGCAGGCCGAACTCTTGCCCTTTTGTTATGTATATTACATTATATTATATTATAGTATATTATATTATAGTATATTATAGTATATTCTATTCTATTCTATTCTATT